CGGGTAACTTTCCGCGAAATATAACAAACAAACGAGACAAGGGGATGTCCTCTAGTGACTAAATATCAAAGTAGCACGTGAGTCTAAGCACAAAAAATAAGAAACCCTATAACCCAAGCACTTTCGAAAAGTAGATTTTTCGTTATCGGGGTAAAATGGGAAGGAGATATCCTTACCTCGCAGGTATAAAAACAGCGGACAAGATTCTTTTCCGACTAAAAAAAAGAAAAAAATGTATGAGAATGGATAATATTTCTCACAAGGTTCCGAAACAGCACATTTGTTGGTGAACCTGAATGTGACTCACTAAACCTGTAATCGCTAGCGACACCTATCTGGTAAATGTATTTACTCTATAATGTGTTTACTTATTCTTTTTTTAAAACTGTAAACTAAGGGTTAGATTATATTTTGAAATACACTTTCGTAGGTGTTAGTACAAACGATTTGTTTGTTTAAGTATGTATTTTTCAAAGTTTGATCATGTTCTGTAAAAGATAAAGTAATAAAAAACTGTTGACTTACATATCTTCTCATTTCCTCGAACAGCTAAAGAAAATCTTCAGTAAAAAAGGGAGCGACCCGAACTCCGTCAAGGTTACGTCATTCAGGTAAACAGTGAAATCCATCAGTTTACTATCTGAAGTCAGATTTCGTGAAGGTTTATCTAGTCTGTTTAGCTAGCTGTAACTATACGTTAGGCCGGCATGACCAGGTGGTTAGGGAGCTCGACTCGCAAACATGTTCGCCCTTTCAGCCGTGAGGGCATTATAATGTGACGGTCAATCCCCCTATTCGTTGGTAAAAGAGTAGCCCAAGAGTTGGCGGTCGGTGGTGATGACTAGCTGCCTTCCCTCTAGTCTTACACTGCTAAATTAGGGACGTCTAGCGCAGATAGCCCTCGTGTAGCTTTGCGCGAAATTCAAAAAAACACACAATACATTTGTTTTTCTATCTGGGTATAGAATTATACTTATGATCATAGGCGTCGGAACAGGGGGTACTGGGGAAATGTACTCCCACCTTTTGGCAAAATCGTAGTGTCCCTCTTCAAAAAATCAAAACATTAAAAATATAATAATGTCGATGAAACAGCACGGAGAGCCCACAAATCTAAGCTGGGTTATAGTTACCAACATTTTTTCCTGGCTTGATTTATATATATATATATATTTTAAATCAGTAAAAATGCGAAAAGTTTCCTCCGAGGGTCAGTGCCTCTCCAGATTCAAAGTGCTTCCACCGCCTATGTTTATGACCTGTGACAAATCTATCTATCTGTTGTTTTTTCTATCTCTAACCTAACACTACTGTTACTAGTAAAATAAAAGTACACAACATCAGTTGAAATTTTAATCAATGTGTTATAATGAATATTCCACAGACCTGGCAGCGTCGTTGTTCGGTTTACGGCAACTTGGAACACATCCCAAGCAGCATTGTCAGCTCCAGTTACTAAAACAGTTATACAGCGCTATCTGGAGGTAAAAAACGAAAGCTTGGCAGGCCACCACATCAACCTGTTTTCAATAAAAACTGAAGGTAAAGTTTGTAGGATCACTAAACACTTTATCTTTAGATCTTGTTATTAGTATTTGAACAACTCTTTTGGCCACGCGACAGAAATATTGTATAAACTTTCATGTTTAACATTCGGTTGTTATAAATATACAACACATTTTCAAAAGTACTTTGACGTTGGAGAATAAATTTAATTACTATACTACTTGTAAGATCTTTGTCAGCATTGACCTAATGACTTTTGAATATGTGTACAGAAAGTCGATGTTAAAAATTTAAATGGGGGATGATAACAAAGTATTTTAATGATAAAAGATTTTCAAACTAAGTGATACTCATTTCAATCATTTATTAAAAAGACTTTCTATAATCTTTTAACATCAATACACCTTTGCTGACGTGTAAAGTTAAGTAGAATGTGTGAAATCGAATACCAGAAGGGTAATTTTTACGCTGGACAAAAATAAGTGCAAGAACAGTTGAATTTGTAAGATCTTTGTCAGAATTGAAAAATTTACACTTCTGAATATATCTGCAAAATATCGATGTTAAAGATCTAAGAGACGATTAAACGGTCGTTTTATCATGTCTTAACATTAATTTCTACACATCTGCTGACCAGTAAAGTGATGGAGAGCATGTGAAATCAAATATTAGACTTCACTAAATTATCCAATTATTGTTTACAGAACCAATTCAAATACATTCTTGATTTGTTTTTTCAGCTTGAAATTTATATTAGTTTGGTTCTGACAATTTACAGAAATAGCAAATGAATGCCAGTTTCAGAACGGTGGATGTTCCTATTACTGCTCCTGGAATGACATAAGCATGGTTAAAACATGTACATGTCCTGAGGGATACAGACTTCACGAAGATCGAAGAACTTGTATTAATGACCGTAAGTTTGTATACCCTTAATGATGTGATCCGTTCAACGTTTATTTTAAAGTAATTTTCACAAAGAGTACATGCCCAACTGAGGTTTAATCACAATCCATCCAAACAAGATCTAGGATCTACTCACCTAGAACCTAATTCCTACATCATTGATTGGGCCAGGTGTGATCCAGTGATTAGCCTGCCGGACTATGGACCCGAGGGAGAGCATGGTTCGCATCCTATTGCCGCGAAATCGCGCTCGCGCTTTAGAACTATGGATGCGTTATAAGAGTAACGGTCAAGTCCCTCTATTCCACCAGACAAGAGTAGCCCAAGAGTTGATTGGATTGCTGTTAACCATAAGTTCAAAATTAGGATGATCAGCGCAGATAGGCCTTGAGCAGTTTTAACCAAATATCCAAAACCGATAACACAATTACTGATCGTGTTCATTCCGATGACCATGATTACGCACTATTGCCTAATATCACATTTTTCCATTGTGGCGAGTTTTCGCGAAAACAAAGAGATCATTTTTATGTCCGCATCTTAAACAGACCCTCCATTATCGAAGAACGTCATCTTCCAAAACCACGATTAACTACACCACAGTCACAAAAGTCCTTTGGAACAACATCGAAGGTCTTGCCCGAATGGAATTGTTATACTACTTAAAAAGTGACAATCCTTCTTATAAAGTGTGTTTAACCTTACAATATGACAATCCTTCTTATAAAGTGTGTTTAACCTTACAATATGACAATCCTTCTTATAAAGTGTGTTTTTGTCACTTTGTAAGGTTTCCTTCTTATAAAGTGTGTTTAATCTTACAATAAGTCAATATCGTTAACTTTTATATAACAAACTTAACAGTTTTTGTGATTGGCTTAAGTGTGTTTTTTATACAACATGGAATATTTTCGTAAGTTTGAAGTGGAATTTCAGATATTTAAATATCTTATTGGTATGATATTGTCACAAATGGACATTTTCTTAATTATAAAAGTAACTAAACAATTACATAAAGTTATGAATTTATTTCTCACAATGTTATTGTACTGATCTACTATCTCTAACAAACTGTTTCTAAGTTAATTATTATTGTGTTCGCTACTAAGAAGTTGTCATAACTGCTAATTCAGTTACCTTGGAATGTTTGTATGAACAGTAAACCTACTGATTTATGTGTATTGTTTTTCTAGCCATTTCAACGACAATGTCTCCAAGCTCTGTAAGGTCAATTACATATGCTTCTCTGGATGGAATGGCTTTTCCAACTACAGCAGTGTCTTCCTTTAGTGGGGAAAATGTAGGTACTTCAGTAAGAACAGAAGAAATGACAAGTGGAATTAATAATTCAACTTTTCTAGACAGTGAAAACACGTTTCTTAAAGACGTTTCACAGAATTCTAGGCCAGCATTTGATACAACAATAGCTAATCCTGCAACGACTAGTAACCAAAGTACAACGACGGAACGCACAACGACACCGAAGTCAAAAATCGGTGTTTCTGGAGATGGAACTCTTGTTTATTATCCACGCGAAAATGTGAATATTCTCCGTGGAATCAATGATTCCAGTTTGAACTCTACACGTATATTTCCGACAGAGTCAAGTTCGGAGTCCGATGGTACAGAACTAAGCAGTGGAATCAATGATTCCAGTTTGAACTCTACACGTATATTTCCGACAGAGTCAAGTTCGGAGTCCGATGGTACAGAACTAAGCAGTGGAATCAATGATTCCAGTTTGAACTCTACACGTATATTTCCGACAGAGTCAAGTTCGGAGTCCGATGGTACAGAACTAAGCACTACAGTAAGCTTCCCCAATACAATTGTTGAAGAGGATCAAACTGTTCCTTCTGTTAGTAATAATAAAGACATGAGTTGGAACAGCGATAACGAGTACGAATCGCCTTGGGAAGCTTTAGGATTCTTCTTCCCACATACAACCGGTGGTACAAATGAGGGGGAAGACGTAGGTGGAGTTGAAAATAATAGTACCTCAACTGAATTATCTCATTCAGAAGCTTCGCCGGCACTTGGTTTAGTCACAGATTCAACAGTTGACCATGAAATCGAAACAATCGAGAATTTATTTTCGTTGAATTTCAACCAAACACATTTTAATCCCATACATTCGGATGGAATGAAACCAGAGATAGAAACAAATTTAACAGCTTCCGAAAACTTTACCAGTTCTTCAAATAGGGATGATGAGCAGATTTTAGAAGATTCGACCAAATCCTCAGAAACACAGATTCCGGAATATTCTACCAATGTTTCGGAGTTGTTAGAAAATCCAGAGAATCACTCTAGCGGTTTACCTGGAACGTCGGAGAGTCAAATTCCAGAAGAGTCCACTACATCAGATAAAACCTCTGTTACCACTTCTCACGTAATCCCTGGTTTAGATATAACGGCTTCCACCACAGCAGTTAATACTTCTGATGAACGACTAAGAGATAATACGGAAAACATTAGTGTTCTTGAATCAGTTAATACAGATGAAACTGACGATTATGAAGTAAGTAAACCTATAACTATTCATTCATCTAGCGAAATGTCGACAATTCAAACAGATGCCAGCGCTTTAACCACTGCTTTTCCCAGCAATGACAACACGTGGTCAAAGCCAATGGAAACTGTAGTTTCTGAACACCAAACTGAAGACGGACTTGAAGTCACGAAATTTAAAACGGTCACAAGCTTCGATGAAAGGCAGGGAACAATTCAATCAAATGAACCAGAAGAAACTACAAATATGGCTGAAGACTCTTCGACTAACAATCATGGCGTTTCCAGAACCGTCATGTCGCTTACTGATACTGAAAGTAACTCGTCCTCCTTAGCTGATGGAACTACCGACAACATGTTAACGGTAAGAAACTTACAGTTTAACAACCAAATCTTTGTTACAAAGAATGGAAGTTTAGATGAAGCGGCTGATGAAGATGCATTACAGAATGACACCTCAACAAGTATTTCATTAACCACAGAAAACACAAATATTATGTTGACCTCTTTAGGACTATTGAATGAAACTAAAGATTTTGATGAAAATATTACTATGTCCACAATAATAGAATCAAAAGTTGAGGAACCACTCCAGAAAGGTCAGATCAATGGGACGGACAATGGAGTCGAGGAAACGACAGTGACTTCAACCTTTAATATCACCGAGACATTCTTTAGAGACTTCGTTTCTGGAACAAAAACTACTCTCGAAGCAAACGTTACCAAGCCAGTTCTAGAAGAAATATATGCTACTACCCTTTTCGAAGAAGATGATAAAAGCAATCAGAATGCGAAGACTGTGAAAGACTTCTCATCTGAAGGCACTAATAATCCTAAATACTCAGATGTTGAACTTGACCAAAGAAACAACACAAATGAAGAAGGTGTGCTTTCTGGTGAATCAGCTAATACCACTTCGCAAGACATTTTCGGTATCTTGAATGACTTTTATGAAGATTCTGCGACACAGGTAACATCTACATCTATAGATAATTCAACCAGAATGGAGAGAAAAGAAGGAGGCATGTCTTCTCAGAACGACACGATAATTATTGGGATGTCAAACTCTTCTGAGAAGGATCGAACCTTGAAAACCTCTGATAATTCAAGCGTTACCAACCTAATAGATACAAAGTTCATAAACCCAACTTTACCATTTTTACTAGAAAATGCCACTCTTGACCAGTTAGACGAAGATAACATTGTATTTGCTAACAGCACGTCCAAATTTCCGACTGCTGACCAGAGTGATTTATTTCATTTCAATGAAGGCAAAACAAAAGTCAATTTCAACAATGAAAACTTCACGAAATCTTCTGACTTTGATGAAACTTTCTTGATTAACAATGAAGACACGACGAACGAACCAGATTTTAACACAATGTCTACGTTTGGCAGCGAAATCTTCACAAGTACACCTGATTTTGACGAAAACTTCACAAATTCAACTATCGTGAACGAATACTTTACGAATTTATATGATTTTAACAAATCTTTTGTGATTAATAACGAAAACACTACGAATACATTCGACCGTAATGACCCTTTGTTGGTTAACACTGAAAATTTCACAGACTCGTCTGACTTCAACGAAAATTTTACGAATCCGCTTGGTTTCAACACAAGTTCTATGTTTAACAATAAAAGCTTCACAGATTCATCTGACTTCAACGAAACTTTTATAAATCCGATTGGTTTCAACACAAGTTCTGTGTTTAACAATGAAAGCTTCACAGATTCATCTGACTTCAACGAAAATTTTACGAATCCGCTTGGTTTCAACACAAGTCCTATGTTTAACAATGAAAGCTTCACAGATTCATCTGACTTCAACGAAACTTTTATAAATCCGATTGGTTTCAACACAAGTTCTGTGTTTAACAATGAAAGCTTCACGGACTCGTCTGATTTAAATGAACCTTCTGTGTTGAATAGAGAAAATGTCACACAGTCGTCTATCTTCAATGAAACTTTTGTGTATAATAGTGACAACTTTACGGCCTCTCACGACATCAGTGAAACTACTGTGTATAATAGTGACAACTTTAAGGCTTCTCCTGACTCCAGTGAAACTTCTGTACTTAACGATGAAAATTCCACGGCCTCTCCTGACTTAAATGAAACTACTGTGTTTAATAGTGACAACTTTACGGCCTCTCCCGACTTCAATGAAACTACTGTGTTTAACAATGAAAACTTTACGGCCTCTCCCGACCTCAATGAAACTACTGTGTTTAACAATGAAAACTTTACGGCCTCTCCCGACTTCAATGAAACTACTGTGTTTAACAATGAAAACTTTACGGCCTCTCCCGACTTTAATGAAACTACTATGTTTAACAATGAAAACTTTACGGCCTCTCCCGACTTCAATGAAACTACAGTGTTTAACAATGAAAACTTTACGGCCTCTCCCGACTTCAATGAAACCACTGTGTTTAACAATGAAAACTTTACTGGCTTTAACGAATCTGTTCCGTTAAATAGTGGAAACTTAACAAGTTCACTTGATTTCAATAGAACATTTGTCTTTGACAATGTAAGTTTCACATATCCATCAAACTTGAATGATACTCTTGTGTCAAACACCGAAAATTCCACCGATTTATTCGTTTTATCTGAACAAAACTTAACTACACCAGAACTTCTCGGAGAACGGTGGTCTAATTTTTCCGTGGGTATGCCCGATGATCTCATCATGGCAATATTGAATGGATCCTTAGTTCTGGGAGAATGGAACTCCACATGGAACGAAACGATGGGCAACAGAACTGGGAAAGAACAAGGGTGTGAAATTGGTAAGTAGTTTCACAAGTATTGATTTAGAAATATCGGTAAATATGCTGAGAAAGAACAAGGATGTGAAATTGGTAAGTAGTTTCACTAGTATTGATTTAGAAATATCGGTAAATATGCTGAGAAAGAACAAGGGTGTGAAATTGGTAAGTAGTTCCACTAGTATTGATTTAGAAATATCGGTAAATATGCTGAGAAAGAACAAGGGTGTGAAATTGGTAAGTAGTTTCACTAGTATTGATTTAGAAATATCGGTAAATATGCTGAGAAAGAACAAGGGTGTGGAATTGGTAAGTAGTTTCACTAGTATTGATTTATAAATATCGGTAAATATGCTGAGAAAGAGCAAGGGTGTGAAATTGGTAAGTAGTTTCACTAGTATTGATTTATAAATATCGGTAAATATGCTGAGAAAGAACAAGAGTGTGTAATTGATAAGTTTGTGAAATATTTTAATGAAATTTTATAATCTGAGCATTGAAATATTTTTGGAAATTAATTAATTAAAATTTTTCATGCCAAATTCAATAAAGTTTTTTTTTCTTTTTAAACACAGCTAAAATATTATATTGTTTGAACATTTTATAAAAATTATGTAATTTTTGGAAATTAACCCTATATTACACATTGTAACGTATCTCCATGTATTAACCCTATATTACACATTGTAACGTGTCTCCATGTATTAACCCTATATTACACATTGTAACGTATCTCCATATATTAACCCTATATTACACATTGCCACGTATCTCCATATATTAACCCTATATTACATATTGTAACGTATCTCCATGTATTAACCCAAAATCACACATTGTAACGTATCTCCATGTATTAACTTTATATTGCACATTGTAACGTATCTCCATGTATTAACCTTATATTACACATTGTAACGTATCTCCATATATTAACCCTATATTACACATTGTAACGTACTTCCATGTATTAACCCTATATCACACATTGTAACGTATCTCGATGTATTAACCCTATATTACACATTGTAACGTATCTCCATATATTAACCCTATATTACACATTGTAACGTCCTTCCATGTATTAACCCTATATTACACATTGTAACGTACTTCCATGTATTAACCCTATATTACACATTGTAACGTATCTCCATGTATTAACCCTATATTACACATTGCCACGTATCTCCATGTATTAACCCTATATTACACATTGTAACGTATCTCCATGTATTAACCCTATATTACACATTGTAACGTATCTCCATGTATTAACCCTATATTACACATTGTAACGTACTTCCATGTATTAACCCTATATTACACATTGTAACGTACTTCGATGTATTAACCCTACATTACACATTGCCACGTATATCCACGTATTAATCCTATATTACACATTGTAACGTACATGTAACCTGTCTCTATTATTTAATAAAGAAACAAATGCTTCACTTCAGTAGTTGAATAGCAGGCTACAGTCTAAATAAACCATGGAACTATTTCTGTTGGCTCCTGTATTGAACAATATTACCTCCAGATAATGTACCCATTTATAACTTACCAACATATATACATAAATATGTTTTGTGTAGTACAGACTTATTTAAGTAGGAGAACCAGAGGAAACAATTTTACACCCTATTTTCATAATAGAGGGTATAATTAGAATATGATTTATATTTTACGTAAACACATTAATGACAAATAAGAAATAAACATATTTTAGAGACATTATTAATGTCCATTTGTTTGTTAACAAGGGGAGTTCACGTGTAACGGAGAGAAGGAATGCCGAAGTGTTACCAACATATGTGACGGTTTTGTTGACTGTATGGACGGATCAGACGAAAGCACTTGTAAGCGAACAATTTTTTTATATATTTCATCTCTCTTTTGTTCTCAGTATTTTCTCACTTGAAGCTCAGAATACCCTAACCTTGGATGTTACAGAGTTATGAAGCATGTCGAAGAATAAATGACTGATTTATATTGGGTACTTTCTTTAAACCTGTCACGTCTGGTGGGGTTTTTCCGCTTCTCGAAAACAAAATTACATCATTGAATTAATAAGTTGAAGTTATTTTATTTATTTGTCCCCCGATGAGTCAGCGGTAAGTCTACGGACTTACAACGCTAAAATGATGGGTTTTATTCCCCTCGCTGGACACAGCAGATAGCCCGATGTGGCTTTGCTATATAAACAAACACAAACATTTTATTGTTTAACATAATATTATGAAATTTAATTGTTTCTTCTAAATTGTTTTATTTAATTCAACTGAAAATTGTTTTCAAGCCTATGTTTAGTTTGAATAATTATTTTATATTTTAAATACCGAGTTCGCAAAACGCAGTGCTTTTACGTCATTTAAATTCAAGGATTAAAGAGCACGTGGAAAATACCCCATACAAAGCAGTAAGCTATTCTTCGACACGTTTCACAAGTCTCTAACATTCACCTACCCTCCAAGGTTAGTATATTCTGGGGAGTACTTCGTGTGAGAAAAAATGACTTTTTTTGCGTGTCTATGGATATACTAATAAAAAAATGAATTCCAATGAAGAATATGTAACAATTTCTTTTTTTAACAGTTATTGTTACATAAAAAATTGACAGCCTCTTGATAATAATAATAGTTTAAAATTGATTAAACAGACATTTGCAAGACTCTGTGTCACGTTTTAAATGTCGATTTTTTTTAAAAAAAAGTATCTTATCATGAATATTACTTACATTGGTGGCTGACACCGATTAAGGGTTAACGCTAATATTCACGATATTTCGTAGTGTTGATTAAGTTACAGGATGCGGCATTTTCCTTCTAAAACCTGAAATAAATTTTAATCTATTCCTAATTTGTTTTATCATAATCATATTGTTTTAATTTAGATGCTAGCTAGATGGTGCATGACGCTAAGATCAAGAACGTTCATAAAATATTCGAGAAACTTCCCGTACTTGGTACAAGTAAGAGTTTAGTATAAATACAAGTAGTTAATGCCTAGTAGTTGTTAATGGAGAGAAGACTGGCCAAATAAAGTTATTCAGTAAGGATTAGTGCTTCTTTAAATTAATCAGTAATCTAGTCAGCATTTGTTATGAATCAAGGAAATTTTTTTATTTATTATTATTGTATGACGCCTATAGCTGTTTCGGAGTTTATGATGAAAAGCATGTTTGTGAACTTAGGCCTACAACTTGCGCCAAAGTGAAAGTAACCTGTAGCAAAAATTATAATATTAAATAAATAAATAAATTTGCTATTGTTACATGGTATGGACTTGGCATAAGTTTATACCAAGTAATCCAAAAGAACCCGCCCAATGATAAAACACGTTACAAAACCGTTCACAGAGTTAACTTCCTAGAACTTTGCATTTTTATAATTTCTTACACATTCACAAACTGCACATCAAAACATAATCCGAAGAAGGCGAGGTGTCCACAATAAGGCTAAATGTTTTAAACACCTAACTCGACCAAATATCAAACTACAGTTTAATTGCTTTATAAAACATATTATTGGAGACCCCTACTGGGCTATTTCACATTAAACTGTTTAAAAAATAGATCTTGACACCCCATACAACTCCTAATTGTAGGTTGTAAAGATCTATCAGTGTACCAAATTTGAAAAAAATCCATAAAAGTTGAGTATGTTTTTAAATCGAATAAAGTTTTCGTACTTTAGGTGCGAAGAAAAAAATAATTATAAGAACTTCAATCAAAACTGGAGATTTTATATCTCGTGTATTTCTGAATGCATTGCCTTGAAATTTGGTATGTGAAGTAAGAGTCCAGTAGAGCATCTCTACTGAAAATATGTGATTGTTTGGATTTCTACAGTCCGAGCTACAGAAGTTGGAATATCGCTATACTATCACTCCTGTTAATAACACGCAGTATGTCGTGCAGGTTGTTTGTTTGGCCGCAAGACACACTGTACATAATGATAAAAATACACGTGTGTACAAAGAGTACTCACAGTAAAGTTGCTCTTGAAAACATTTATTGAATTTGTTTGACATTTCTTATACGTGTACTCAATCACAGAACATAAAACATATCCAACAGAATAATATGACACATCCAATACACAATATTGTATGTGTTGTTATACTGCATTGTTTTATTTGTTAAGTAAAACACAGTAAAAATAATCTAAAAACACATTTAAAAACCGAACTTAGTTTTGTCTAAATCCTCTTTTCTTAAAAGCATCATATTTTCTTAGTAGTAGTTCAGTAACTTAGCTGCTAAGTTTTTGTCTGAAACATACCAGATGATTTATATCTGTAGATATGAAAATATCTTGTATCTTTCGGACGAAGGACTGGACTTCATGTTTCTATGTCTCGTATACAGTGATGATGTATTAAGTTATATAGAGCCCTGCAAACATTTCTGTCACACGTGTGACGTCACCATAAGGTTAAAGAACTCATATTCAAAACCTAATTTTCATTTCTGGATTTCATGTGCTGGGGCGTTGCCCCTGAGCGTTCCGGCTGCACTTTATTCCTGTTCGTAGATACCGTTATTCATTCATTCGTTATCAATATGTTGTGTAAAGCTTGTGAACCCGGTACAAGTACAACAAATCCGTTCGTTTTTACATATATTGTTAGGGTTATGTAAAGACTGTAAAGTCAGTAT